ATCTCCTGGCTTCATCAGTCTATACTTTACATGTTTTCAGAATTATTTTCCAAAAAGTACTCATTTTTTCCGATCACTACCTTCCTCAAATAATGTCAATCGCTCTCCAAAACTTACAAAATGAAGTTCAATGTCTTTCCCATGGAACACAGTTCAGGGATACCAGACTAAATGTGATTCTTAGAATTTCCTACGCATTTTGATGCCATGACTGTGCTCATCCAGTTTTCTTATCTATCGTCCAAGGAAAGCTTTTTTATATTTCAGGACCTAGTACAATGAAATAATTGTCACTAGTAATCTCTTCTTTGCTGTTCTATGGCATCTTGTTTTATTTTTGCATCTTTGCTATTCTATGGCATCTTATTTTATTTTTGCACCTTTTTTTCTCTGCCATTGTACCATAGTGTACTTTAACCTATTTTTTGAAACCCCACACAGTCTACCACATCACTGGGCTTCAGTGCATATTTAGGAATGTCTAATACATCAATGTATATTCAGTGCTATGTTCTTTAAAATAATTAAAACATGTTCTTTCCATTTTTACCTGTTACTTTTTTTTTTTTTTTTTAAAGACTGGGTCTTGCTGGGCTCAAGTGACCCTCCTGCCTCAGCCTCCCGAAGAGCTGGGATTATGGGCATGTGCCACCACGCCTAGCTTTTATTCATTAGTTTCTGGTCTGCTAACCTTCTTTTACTAATTTACTAATATTGTTATCACTGATGCCTACATTTATTGCTATTATTTGTTATTCTTTGTGAAAATAAATGTTCTATTCTTTAGGGTTTATATGAATCTTCTCCTTCCTAACTTGTTACAGGAAAAAACTCAGCAATTGATACACGCTTACCACTTCATGGTGATTATCCACGAGTGATGACAGCAGGGAATACTGAGCTGGGTCGCAATAGTACTTCAAAGCAAACAAGTGCTTGCATGACAGATGGGAAACGGTAACAAACACTAGGTGAGTAAACAAAATTGAGAGTTGCCACGTTCTTTCGATTTGAGGCAGCTTTCCCAACTTATTGTTTCATAAAAACTTGATTTGTTTTAGCCAAATTTAGACTTTGAAAACTATACATAAATCCATTGTAATCCTCAACTTGCCACAGAGCTGTAAATACTCACAGCTGAAACAGAAAAACGGTCCCAGCATGGTCAAGTGAGTAACTAAATTTGACCTTTAAAGCAAGAAATTGGCTATATTTATCCTGTTGTATTTAGCAACCAACAATGATAAAGAAGTTACGAAAGGCTGCCTTTCCAAGTTTTATTAGTTGGTCTCTATCTCCACCTGCTGGACGACAAGAAATATTAACCAAATATATTTTACTTTAATGAATGATTCACTTAAATTTTAAAAATCAGATTTTGACACAAGAACGATGGGGGTGACTGCCTCACAGAACACCAATTTTCCTGTGTTACTGAAATTGCAGTGGGTCTTCACGGACATCTTTGTGACCTCATTACATGACCATATTGTACCACAGAACAAAAGTGATGCTTCATTATGGAACAGAGTCATTCAGTGCTCAGAAAAACCTATACAAATGACTAAATGAGAGGAAAACGCAAGTCAATTTGAATGCAAGTTTTAAGATTTACTCTTATAAATTCTACATGCTAGGTGTTACTGAAAAGGAAACACCATATAATACTATTTCAGGAGTTAAAATGCAGAATACCTTGAAGTACTGCCATTCCTTAAATCCATTTAGATTACAGTGTGTAATCATAACTTTTGATCCATCAGTCCCCTTTGTCAAACACTGGTCATACTGCATGAGTTGATTTGCTTCATTGATTCTGAAAAGCTATAAAAAAAAAAGGAGGGAGGGAGGAAGTGAAGAAGTTAGTTAACTCCTATAATTAAACTGGATGACTAACTTATTTTTCTATAATTTTTCTGTGTGGAACTATAAGTCCACAGACAGGACTTATATTTATTTTGATGTTAG